CCACAGTCAGGTCCTTTAACACTGACGGCCTGCTTACATCTCACATGAAGGCTGTACTGATAAAACACTTTCCTGATTGTCTGCATGAATGAATTCATTGCTTTTTCATGTAGGACGCTGTTGTAGGGATTGTTGATATAATATCTAATATATAATACAGTTGTTAAATAATTTAATATCACTGGGAAGTTCACGTGAACATGACATCGAGCACAGAAATGTGTGTTTAATGCATGCACTCTTTATTACTTGACTAAAAATATACACAGGCTCGTCTTCGTGAACAGCTTGTTGGTCCTGCTGATATCCTCCCTTTCCTCACATTCTCCCAGCAGGCGGTCGTCAGTCTATCGTGGATGCTTCATCTGAGCTTTTATGATAAAATCAGCTGCCTGATAAAACAGGTTCAATGAGACTGATGTCGGACATTAATGTTTGTGTAAAACGTAAACAACAAGCTGGTTCGCTCTATTTTATGTTTTATATATAGTCTTTCCACAAAAAGCTGGATGTTGTCTGATAAACCCGTATTTTATTCTCAATAAAACATATTTAACGTGTTTAAGAGGTCAAGAAAAACCCAAGAAGCGTATCAACAGACAATAGACAGGTCAGTGCTTAAGTAAGAAGGATTTGCAGTACAAACACGAGACGTGCAGTGGAACTGTAGCAATGATGTACTTAATGATGGGTTAAGTTCCCACTCTTATACTTGATTAAGAGCAGGCACCCTCATATGTCTTTATGATTTAGATTTATGATTTATGATTTATGATTTTTTATGATTTTTGCATTATTACTTTGTGTATTTGGCACAAGCATCACAGAAGGACAAGGGGAACATTTAACGCTCTTTGGTGCATGCTGCAGTCACTGCGACTGGAGGTGGCTTTTCCATTTCACTTGTTCATTACTGTAACTTAGGAAGAACAGCATATATGTGAGTGCTTCTGTTTGTACCTCGTTTGATTTACAAGCTCTCCACAGATGTGGACGTTTGAAGGTTTTGGTGATGAACTCTGGGGAAAAACCCACTGTCAGGTGGCCAGTAATAA